CAATAAAAACATGTTTTGCCAAGTTTGGAGCTACTGAGAAAGCAAAAGTATAATCTTGTATTTTTTTTTCTACTCTTCATTGTTGTAATATTTAAGACAATAATAAATGACTTACATGTTGAACATCAGTAAAAACATGGTAGTTAAGCTTCTGCAACTAATGTTTAAAGTAGCAAAAATGGTGCAAGGCTTTGTGTTGCACTTCTGTGTAGGTCATCTCTTCTATGAGCATAATCTGCAGAATGGCCAATATTAAGAGTGACTTCTTGTTTTGGCTTTTAATGTTCACTTTTTGTATTCTACAGGAGTCAATTATACAACTTGACAACTTGCATTTTTATTTTTTAAATTGTCAATTGATACATAATAATTGCACATATTTTTGGGGTACACATGTTATTTTGATAGCTGCATACAATGTGTAATGATCAAACCAGGGTATACTGATATTTATTGTCTCAAACACCTATCATTTCGTTGTGTAGGAACATTTCAAATTTTTTCTAAGTATTATGAAATATACAATATATTGTTGTAAATTATAATCTGTCCACTCTGCTATCAAAAGCTATGATTTATTCTTTCTTTGTAATTGTGTTTGTACCCATTAACCAACTTTTCTTTATTTTCCTCTCCAACCTTTCCAGGCACTGGTAAATATAATTCTATTATCTATCCCATTAGATCATTTTTTTGCTCACACATATGAGAAAAAATATATAAAATATGTTTATTAGTCAGTGTGCTCTTTTTAATCCTGGCTGTCTGAAGAGCATGAATCTGTATACGTTCTGCACAAATGATTTTAGACACTGATAAGTCATAATTACACTGTTAGATCTCAAGCTTGTTGAGAATGTCATTGCTTTTGACATACAAAAAAAGTAATGGCACCAGGGAAGATTATAGAAACATAAAAGTAGATGCTTTGTGTTGATTCTATTTGTGACAAATCCTGGCTGCTAGTAAATAACATGAAAAAAGATGAATTTCCAAACATACAGTGACAACTTGATCAAAGGAAGAAAAAAAAAATGAGTCATGTATAATAGGTTTAATCGGGTTAATTAGAATCTGGGTTGCATTTTGGACCTGGGAGTACTTACCAACAGGCTGTTACTTGAAGGATTATCTTCACTTAGTCTAAGGAGCATGGCAGGTCTGCAGCATTTGGATATAACATCTCACACTAGCTCTCTGGGAAGATGCTCTCTCAAAGAGTTGCAATTTAGCAGGCTACCTCAACATAAACTGAAAAATGCCTTGTGCTTTTCCTATTATAATGTCTGAAAGCATCACTGTCTGATGAAGGTATTCACGGGGTTACAAAGGAAGAAGGAGGGGAGGGGATAGAAAAGCAAAGAGAAAGTGGGGAGAATAATGGGACAGAGGGTATGTAGAGGAGGAGAATGAGAGAGCAAAGGAGGGGAGTTAGATGGGGAATGAGAAGTGGCTAAGGAAATACAAGTAAGATATTGTGGAAGAACTTCAAGCATCCAGAATCACAATAAATTTATAAATACACAGCAAATGTTTTCAATTAAAACACTAACCTCACTTTTGGGAATGCAATCTGGTAAGATAGTTTTCTCTTGGTTTGCCTGTTATTTAAAATAGTGTCTTAGTTTTTCTTTCCTTTCTTCTTTCTCCTCTACCTTTACCCTCTTCTCCAACCCTCCTCCTCCTTCATCTTAATACATGCACTATTAGAAGTGTCTGTGAATCCAAAACACTTCCTTAAGCTACAAAAAGTACACATTTTAACTCAGCCATAAACAAATGACAGGAAAAATTAAATGATATATCACTGATTTCTTTGAAAATATCATACATTCCTTGAAGTACAGAAGCTTGTATTTCCCTCACCTGAGGAGGCACTAGTGCTTGGAGGGATCATAAGTGAGGCATGTGACATGTAAAAAAAAAAAAAAAAAGATAAGTAACGAAAAAGTTTCAGTTGCATTGAGCATAAAGGAAGAACCAAAAAAGTGTTTTGCCTTTATAAGCACTAAAGATATTTTTAACTGCTGTGTATATATGACATAGTTTGTTCATTTGTATTTTTTATTTGGTTAGATATTTATATGCTCATTCTATTCTGCTAACACAAAATACACTCAACATACACACATGCATACATGCAATCCTATTAGATAAGAGGGGACTTGGAGAAAAGTTTGATTTCTTACTTAGTTTCTAGTTTCCTATTTACTTGAACATAATAGATAATATAAACACATTAGATTTCAAAAATTAGACTAATAAACCTTATAAACCTGTATATCTCTCAAATAGTTTTCTATCAAATTAATATTTTTAACCAAAATGTAAAATCTTAGACAATAATATCAGAAAAAGACAATAGATGCCTACTTTTAATTAAAAGTGAAATTTTCAGCAATTCCATTACTGGGTATATACCCAAAGGAATATAAATCATTCTATTACATAGATACATGCACACGTATGTTCACTGCAACACTATTCACAATAGCAAGGACACAAAATCAACCCAAATGCCTATCAATGAGAGACTGTGTAAAGAAAATGTGGTTAACATACACCATGGAATACTATGCAGCCACAAAAAGAAATGAGATCATGTCCCTTGCAGGCACATGGATAAAGCTGGAAGCTATTATCTTCAGCAAACTAATGCAGGAACAGAAAACCAGACACCACATATTCTCACTTATAAGTAGGAGCTGAAGAATGAGAACACACGAACACAGGGAGGGGAACAAAACACACTGGGGACTGTCAGGGAGGGTGGGGCAGGGAAGAACAATGTGGATAAGAGCTAATGCATGCTGGGCTTAATACCTAGATGACCGGTTGATACGTGCAGCAAATCACCATGGCACATTTACTTATGTAACAAACCTACACATCCTGAACATGTATTCTGGATCATTAAAAAAAAGTCAATTGCTATAAAATAATACAAATTGTTTTATTAATATTCATATAGCACAGTAAGTCTCTTGACAAAAATTCAAGCATCTCTCCTTTTTTTCCAGTTCCCTAATTTATGAAGACATCCTCTCTCAGTAATTAAAAAAAAATTAGTATTTTTTCTGCTATTGGTAATTTCATTTCAAAGATGATAAATTTATTCATTTTCAAAAAGTTATACATACTTTACTTTCTTTAGTAATTATAACTTTGTTCTTCTATTAATACTTTTATATTTATATCTATACTCTCAAATCATTCCCATATAGTTATATTACATATTAATATTTTGGAACAATATTCAGTACTTTTTCAAATTACAGACTTTATTAAATATTGTGTTATATTTATTAGAGTAAGCATTTAGAAGTGAGCTGCATAATACATTCTGAGAATGTCATTTGCTTAAGTGTCCACTTACTTACTACTTTGTTATTCTCATGCATTTTTTTAGATTTTATCAGCAAATTATCTCTAAACTCTTCACTACATCTGAAAAGTTTCATATTGTGATCACAACATTTAATAGATTGCTTCCTATTTATTTCATTGATGCCATTCCTCAGATAGCTGATAACCCTCCTGCTCCAATCTCAACTTTCAGCCAAGGAGGTAAGAAAAGGTATGACACAGATAAAATGGGAACATAATGTTAGAATAAAAGGAATCATCAAAGGATACAAAGCACCTTATTCAAGACAGAAATGAAGTACTCAAAGAAAAGTTGGAAGTTAGGTAAGTTATCCTAAAAGAAAAGAAAAAATAGCAAGTAAAAGATAAGCACCTTCCTTAGATAATGTATTAAACAACTTGCTGATTTACCACTGCAAGCAGGCACCCCAGATAGGTGAGTACACAGACTGCTTTCAAGGGTAATTTTTTTTTTTTAAAACAGCTAGCCTCAGCCTGAGAGTGTGAGTGGACATAGATAGAGAAATCGAGCGGAAGCTTCCTGAATAGCCTGACCCCTGGTGTTAAAATCTAAAGAATGAACAGGAGTTCCTCTGATGCAACAAAATGGGAGAAAGCTTTTCTAGGTATCAATGTTTCCATCATGACTCCTACACCTCTCACTGAGTTGCAGTGGTGGATTAAGAAGAGCATTGGGCATATTGTGGAAAATTGGTAAAAAAAATCAGTGGGGCTCATGACAAGTTTGGACAATATAAACTGTCACATAATTGATGAAAATCGTTTATTTGATGAATCTGACCAGATCAAGCAATGTGTGACTAATGTGGCGCCAGAAGAGTGGCAGGAAAATAAGACATCCTCTCTGGGAAAGGGGAGGAAAATGACTTTCCATCATTTTTGGAAATATGATACAACTTCTCAAGTCACTGAATTCTCATTATCCACCTGACAATCTTCCAGCACTAATGCACCTGTTGGAAGAATGTGGATGGGGACTTGTTCTAAGCACAAAAGAGACTGTCATTTTTCAGAGAGAAGCTAAACAAATGGTTTGAAGCCATTAGAGAATGTTCTGCCTTTCTATATAAATACTTTCTGGAGAGAGAATGCAGTTCCACAAAATGTCTATACAAGAAAGGGTCTTAAATATTTTATTTACAATAATATGAGACAAATGCCATTATTTTAGATAGCTTAATGGAGACAGGAACATCTTAATTCTTTGCCTAAATGTTTGAGACTTTGTAAAATTAGAAATAATGGCATAGAAAGCTGAATCGTAAACTGGAAAATCTTTCATGATTGTTTCATGCATTCCCTACATGTTTGCAGCTAAATACTGAATTTGCAAGAATCTCAGATATTACATTTCCTGAAAGACTCAAAATTGGATTAAGAAGTGGAAAAACTATGTTAATTACCATTCCTGATCAAGTGTGACTTTGGAGATGAATATACCTGCTAAAATTAAAAGACACATGTTCTGATATACAGAGAGGTTAGAGATGTGGTCAAGAATAAATAAAAGGAATTTCCATGTCAAAAATATTCCATTTCAAAGAAAGAGTGCACATAGGAAATCACTGAAACTAGGAACAAAATTCAGAGTTATAAAAATCACAGGTTGAAAAATGAATAGAAGCTATGCACCTAAACCTGCTATTATCAGAAGCAACATAAGCTGTCAGATAGCTAGAAGCAAAAAGGTAAGAAAATTACGTATCTCCATAAAATGAGATTTCAAATGCATTTTGAATTCACAATGGAGTACTCTCAATCAATAATAATATCAACTTTTAAGAAAGCCTCCAAATGAGCAATTTTATAATTGTAGCATAAGTAATATAATTATTTCAATACTTTTTTACCAAATCAGAACAGATAATATTTTCTTATGGCAGAATTTAGGGCACATAAAAAAAGTTTCAAAGTATATAATCTGCAATAAGATACAAATACTGTGGACAGTTGAAATAATATTCCATCTTTCCAGGCTTAGGAAATAGTAAAATAACAGCACCCTCAGGATTTGAATGCTAATTTTAACTAAATTGTAAGAAAATGAAATATACAAGAATACAAACTTGTAAATACTATCCTTTCTTAAAAAAAAAAAAAACTCTTAAAGGTACTCTTGGCTACCTTTAAACAGCAGATTAATCAGTATATTTTGTATTTATTTCTAGAGATTTTTGATTGGTAGAAAGAATTGAGAACACATTAATATGAGTGTCTTTCAGATGCCAGTAATTTTTATGCACATTATATTATTTATTCCATATAATATTTGAGGAGATGATCATCATTGTCTTCATTCTTTCTACAAGAACCTGAGACACAGACTGCTTAATGAATAAGCCGAATTTTAAAAAGAGTGCTGTAGATTTAAAAGGCCTGGGTTTTATTTTGACTCTGCCACTTTCTAGCTGCTTAACTTTGTTCAAATTACTTAATGTTTCTCTGTGACCAGGTTTTCTTTCAGAAACAATAGCACCTACCTTTTAATGTTAGGGTAAATTTGGTTTCTATAAACCACCTGCGACAATGCCAGGCAGTAATTCTCAATAAATCCTGGCTAGGTTTTAACTTTCTATAATGTTTCACATCTTGCAAACACCTAGTTGAAAGTCAAACCCAAAAATCTATCTAACACTGAAGTCTGTTTCTTTTCTTGTTGTCATGCTCCTGCCCTCCCCAGCAAGGCAAACAGGAGGTGAAGTCAGGAGCTCATCAAAACAGAGTGAACACCAACAGAATGGTAAACATTATTGCATATTTGTGTGGTGGGTGGGTGAGCCCAGAAAAGAAAAAAATAACTGAATAACTGTGGAATTATATTCAAAATTGTTAGAATAAACCTGTTTTACTTCCTAAAATTTGTATGTGGGACAAATATTCTAGCTCAACTCTTTAAAGATGGATGTATTATTGTCTTTCAAAGATACACAGAACCATACCAATTTCCTGTGCCATTTCAGATAACAAGCTGAAAAATGTGAGCATGTCAGTTGTTCTTGAGTTAGCATTGTAAATTTCCCAGTGTTCAGTATGCCAGGATTAACGTTCTTGCCCTCACATGTCCATTGAATCTTACCGTAACTCTACTATAATCTTGCTGAAAGTGTCATATAAAACTGAACTTTAGTCTAGTCTCCTTGCTGTATTCCACTGTCCACTCTGCAGGTAGAAATTCTACCCAAATCTCCTTTTACGGGGTAACAGGGGGAGAGTGTGAGGGCTGGAATCTTCATATCATGCTAAGCCTTCTCCTGAAATGTCACCTGCAGTTCAACCCAGACCCCTTAGCTTACTTAGGATACAGAGTGAGTAGGAAGGTAGTTGGCTAATTTTCCATATTCCTTCACAATCCAGATTTTCACTCCTCTGTCCCATCTGTCATATTAAACCTCCTTACTATACACTTCCTCCAATTTCTTATGTCCATTTTGATAATCAAGTAATGGAATGGCCTTATGCCAGCTGAGATCCTTTCTCTAAACCCTCATCCATTTTTACTGTCTGCAGTGTCCTGTCCCCATAAGTTGAGTTCTAGTCATAAGACTTCAAAGTTATGACTAAATTAACATTTTTTTCAGGGTCACAAGTAAAGCTTAAAGAAATAATTTTTTTAAGTATTTAATTATTTTGAGGTTGGGAGTATGGCTCACACCTGTAACCCCAGAACTTCAGAAGGCCGAAGTGGGTGGATCACTCGAGGTCAGGTGTTTGAGATCAGCCTGATCAACATGGTGAAACCCTGTATCGACTAAAAATACAAAAAATTATCCAGATGTCATGGAGTACACCTGTAAGGCCAGTTACTCAGGAGGCTGAGGCAAGAGAAGTGCTTGAACCCGAGTGGCAGAGGTTGAAGTGACCCAAGATTGTGCCGCTGCACTTCAGCCTGGGTGACAGAGTGAGACTCTGTCTCCAAATAAGTAAACAAATAAATAAATAATTTAATTATTTTGAGTTAATGTTTATACAAAATTGCCATTAGCATTAACTATAAATGAATCCACATTTATTTTAAATATGAGGGATATAAAATATTTTGTATTTATTATATTGTTTTATGTGTGTGTATCTTTAATTTCAGCTCCCTTTCCCATTATATCACTAATATTAAAAGCTCTAATTCAAGAAGCATAGGGTGCAATGTGAACAGAAAAGTTAATATTACATGTATGATGTATCCTTGTAATCCATTTTATCAGCGATCTCTGTGTTTCCTAATCTTTCCTACTTCTTTTTATGACAAAATATTGTTATCACTGCAGGCCTAAAAGTGCATAGCAAACTGAACAGAATCCTAGCCTGCCTCATACATTATCTGAATTTTCAGTTAACGTCAAATTTTTCTGTTTTTTATAAGTAGCAGGCAGTGAAAATTATGAAAGTTTTTGTTCATTTTTTTCCCCAGATTCCAAATTGAGGTTTTCAACAACCAGAAAACTGAAAAACAGCCATCTATTTCTAGTGTACTTGCCATCTACATAATTGAATGTAAGAGGCAATGAGAGAAAATTAATTTATAATCTATGACATTTAACATCATAGTTTTTGACTTTAATAAAGCCACTGTCATTTTAAAGACATTTCTTGAAAAAAGAAATTTGAAAAGATTTTGCTTAGAAAAAAAAATGGGTACTGTTAAATATTGCTACCAGATAGATAAATTTTAATTATTGGACTCTTTTTTTCTTGAATGTCATTTAACGAATAATAATAATAATCCCTTTATCCAGATTAACTGTGGATATGGTCACAATAAAACCAATATTTTTCTCATATACTCTCCTATGAAGATGAAGAGTCCTATTATTTTAAACAACATTCAGAGGCACACAGTATTTTTAAGAAATATCTTACCCTTAAAAAATATACTATTTTTCCAGCTATAAATTGGAAACAAGGAAGTGTGAATGATGTTTCTCAAAATGCTGATTTACCATGACATTGAAGGCCTCTCACATGCTATTTTCTCCTGTCTACATATCCATCTTTATCCTCCCTGCTTTTCCTGATAAAAAGCTTCTTTCTCTTAAAATATTCTGTTTATTAACCACTAAATATGTATCTTGCTCTTCTAGCTTTTTCTACTCTTGTTTTCTGGAATGGCCTGCACCTTCCTCATTTTTAACCCTGATATTATTAATTAGCCTGATTTCTCTACACTGCTCCAAAGATAACCTTCAGAAAGTATCAGGGATCCTTTTGCCCTGGATTGCTTTTCTTAATGTCCATCAGATTCTTCTGCTGAATTTTTTTAGTGCGCTTTTAATACTTTCCACAAACTGCCTCTCATAGCTTGTTATTGGAATTCACGTTATGGCTTCAGTCTTAGAGTTTGTAGCCTCTTAATCTCATTACATTAGAGGAAAATGAGGCCTAAAGAGGTCAAATTATCTGTTTAGTTTCACGCAGTTTGTGAAAAAGCTGAAAATGGAATCCTTCCATGTTATTCACAGTCCATTTCTACTCTGAATGATGCAATTTTGCTTTATCTATCTTGTGATGTTCCTTCAAATAAGTTGTAATCTATCCTTTTTGCTTTCAGATTCTCCACTTGGCCTAGTTCATTTATTGCATTTGTGTTAATTATTGATTCACTGAAATCTGCACATAGAATTTGTGCTGCAGCTATAAAGTCTACACATACCCTAATTTTGAATAATATATTGGTTTTATATTCTTGCTGTATAACTAAGGTGACACATTCTAGGCCTACAAGATACAAAGGAATGGGATTGCTTCAGAATCTATTTATATCTTGATCAGATGTTCCCCTAAGATAATTGGAAAATATAAAATAAATTGGACACGTATAGAAATAATACGTGAAGTGAGTGTCTGATTTCCTAAAACCTAAGGAGTATTGTAGCACAAATTATTCTATTTTCTAATATAAAAATATAAAACTCTGGAAGGAGAATATGTGGGCTTCCCATATTTTTGCTCAAATCTAATTGCATTACAAAAATGAGCATCTGGCTGTTGTCTGCATACATATAGCTGGGCACTTTTTTTCCACTTGGGAGTTTTCCATAACCACTTGATAATACATTATCCCTTTTTGCATGATTGGTGTTAGGTAGGGAGAATGAATCAAACAATAAAATCTCCATGTGATATATTTGTCTCTTTTTATGCTTTGAAAAATGCTATTTTTTTTTACAACTTAAGGAAGTAGCTATTATTTTAGAGGTATCAATGACTCATGCACTGAAATGCTCTGTACATGTGCTAGTGGGCATGTGTATGGTAAAATACTATTAACTCTCTTAAATAAAATAATTTTACTGAAGTTACCTACACATTGAGTTTGTCAGCTAACATGTCACCTATTAATCAATGTAAATATCAATGAAAAATAAAATTTTAAGTGGAAATAATTTATACTTATCATGTATAAATGTTAGTCAGCTAGCAAAAGAATTCAAAAATCCCAAATGTCACAAAACACATAATTATCAGGTCATTTCTGGAATTACATGGTAAATTGGGGATTGGTGCTAGAAGTCAAAAAATTTCTCTGAAAGTTTCATCAATGTTACAAGGTCAATGTGAAAAGTTTTCATTTATTATAGTTTTTCAAATCATATTTTTCTCAGGAATTTTTCAATTATATGAAATAGTTAATATGACAATCTGGCATTACTTGAAAGCAATTAATTTGAATAATTTTTAAATTTAGAAACAAATT